ATCACTTCCTCTCTTCCCATTATCCTTCAATCATCACGCTTCTTCCTCTGCACCTCCTTCTGCGCGATTAGTCTTCTCTCTCTCTCTCTCTCTCTCTCTCTCTTCTCTCTCTCTCTCTCTCTCTCTCTCTCTCTCTCTTCTCTCTCTCTCTCTCTCTCTCTCTTCTCTCTCTCTCTCTCTCTCTCTCTCTCTCTCTCTCTCTTTCCTCTCTATCTCTCTATCTATCTTTTCCTCTTCCCCTTCTTCCTGGTCATCACGTCTTCTCTCATTTCTCTTTCGTGACAGCCAGACAGCAGGTGACAAATCGCTTAAAGTGAGGGAGTTATTGTTGTTTCCTCTTCTCGTCTTGTTTATTCTTTTTTCTCTTCTTTTCTTTCCTTTTTTCAGTTTTTTTTCTTTTTTCTTCTTTTTGTCTCATTCTTGTTTATTTCTTATTTATTTATTATTATCATTACTATTATTTCGTTATTTTTTAAATGTAATTACTGTTATTATCGTTTATGATTATATTTTTATTATTGTTGTTTGTTTGTTATCTTATTATTATTATTATTGTTAATATTATTATTATCATTGTTATTATATTTATTGTTGGTTGTTGTTGTTATTGTTATTATCATATTATTGTTATTGCTATTCTTGATATTATTATCATCATCCTCATTATTATTACTAATATTATTATTATCATACGAACAAATAATAGAAATATTATTGTTATTACTTCCCTGTCTTCGTTTCCAAACCGTTGTAGTTTTTCTTTTGTTCTTGTTGTTGTTGTTGTTGTTGTGGTATTAATTTTATCCATTATTATTTATTTAGTATTTATTGGTATTATTATTATTTCTGTTTTGAAAGTGGTGGTGGGGGGGGTAGTAACTTTTGGTCACTTTTTTATGTTTATTTTTTCTTTCTTGTATTTTTTTCCTTGTCTTCTCCCTCCCCTACTTTATCCTTAGTGTTCTTATTGTCTTTCTCTTTCTCTCTTCCTCTATTCGTCTCGTCTCCTGCTTTTCCTCCTCGTCCTCTTTCTTCCTCTCCTTCTCTTTCTCTATCTCCTATTACATCCTTCTCATCTTTCTCTATTTCTTCTTTTCACTTCCTCCCTCTTTTCGTTTTTTTTCTTGCACGCTTAATCCTCATCATTTTTCCCTTTCCTTCTTCATTTCCTTCTCCTCTTTCTCCGACGCCTTCTCCGGTTACTAACGGGTAACGAATGGTTAGTGGAAAGAGGAAGCGAAAGGCGGAGGGAAGGCAGGAGAGAGGGGAGGAGGAGGGAAGGAGGAGAGAGGGGAAGGAGGAGGAGGGAAGAGGAAGAGGGGGAGGGAAAGGGGAGGAGAGGAGGGAGGAGGAGAGGGAGGGAGGACGGTGGGGAAAAAAAAGGACGGGGGAGGATGGGGGAGAGAGGGAGGAGGGAAAGAAGGAAGGGAAGGGAGAGGGAAAAAGGAGGGAGGAGGGAAGGAAGAAGGAAGGAGGTGGGCGGGGGATGGGGGGGGGGTGGAGGATACATGAGACGACAGAGCATCTTTTCGCTCTTCTCTACCCCTCCCCCCCTCCCCCGTTCCTTCTGCTTCTTCCATTCTTATTCCTATTCACCCTTCCGATCTCTCCCTCCTATTTCCACCCTCTTCTTCTTTAATCCCTTTTTTATCACCCCACTTCTCCCCCCCCCCCTCTCCCCACCTCTCCCCTCCCTACTCTCTCCCCCTCATTCCTCCTTCCTTCCCCTCCCCCCTCCTCTCTCCTCTCCTCCTCCTCCTCCTCCTCCTCCTCCTCCCTCCTCCTCCTCCTCCTCCTTCCTCCCCCCCTCTCCCCTCTCCTCCTCTCCTCCTCCTTCCCCTCCTCCTCCTTCCCCTCCTCCTCCTTCCCCTCCCTCTCCCCTCTTCTCCTCCCTCTCTCCCTCTCCCCCCTCCCCCCCTCCCCTCCCCTCCTCGTCGTCCTCCTCCCCTCCTTCTCCTCCCCCCCCTTCCCCTCCTTTCAGGTCGGTTACAGCCCGCGGCACAGGGCCACGCGCGCGACCGTTGGGGATGCACAGGAAGTGGGGATCGTCTGCGAGAAGGTGCGAATGGGGGGAGGAGAGGAAATAGGATTAAAAAAAGGGGTTAAGGAAGGGAGGGGAAAGGGTATGTGCATTTATTTGTATGTCTTTATGGTCGGATGGGTGGACGGTTCTGATGTATGTGCGTACACAGACGGATGCGCATGGGGAATACGCACACTTGCATGCACACACACACGCACACATACAGAGACACACAAGCGTACACACACACACACACACAACAGACACACACACACACACACACACACACACACACACACACACACACACACACACACACACACACACACACACACACACACACACACACACACACACACACACACACACTGTACGTACATAGATACACACATGAATCTCTCTCTCTCTCTCTCCCTCCCTCCCCTCCTTCCTTCCCTCTCTCCCTTCCTCCCTCTCCCTCTCCTTCTCTCCTTCTCT